AGGCTGGCTCTTAGGCTCTTACGCGTTGGCCCTTAGGCGCTTTTTAGATTGGGTTGATGCGACCTCTGATATGGCTATAGTTTTTTCCTCATTTTGGCTAAAGATTTTTATTATGCCTTGGCATGTTTTATGTTCGTCCGACTCTTCGACAGTCCAAATAAGAACCTCAATTATGAGTCGATTATGATGATAATTGAGTACCTCGGGAGGTTCTCTTGAAGGCTGATTTTTCGAAGCCTTTTTGCTGAAGGCTGATTTTTCGAAGCCTTTTTGTTGAAGGCTGATTGTCTCGAAGACTTTTTTTGGAGCTGATATGATCGAAGCTCTTTTGTTTATGCCGAGGGGTAGCCTGATTAACCGGTTCTTTTTGAAGTATTTGGAGGCCTTTTATTTTATAGCGGCGGTCGGATGTCTCCGAGCCGCGTTAATTCGGTCGTAACCTTGTGACCTTAGCGTCTATATCGAGGGTTAGGAGTCTTACAAGTTCGATATATAGCCTTGGCCTTCATGTTGGGGTTATGCCTTTTTGAGGTCTTATAAATTTGAGTATGCCTCGTTGAGGTCTTACAAGCTCGGTATTGCCTCATTGAGGTCTTACAGATTCGATGCGGCCTCACTAAGGTCTTACGAGATCGAAATTGCCTTATTGAGGTCTTACGAATTCAAGTTTTTGATGGCTTCGACGATCTGTCTGTTGACGACATTCCCCGAGTGTTCGAGGTTTTTTTGGCCCTTAAGCCGTTTTGCGTGAAAGTATTGAATTGCTTCGAGTGTTTTGACAAGCAAAGAGGCTTCCTCGATTGTTTGATGTATGCGTACATGTTTATTGCCTTTGGAGGCTCGATTGTTCTATATGGACACGGTTCATTTGACTGTTTGGATGTTGCCGAGAATGCAGGTTGTAGTTTTTAGCTTATTTTTCACTTGTCTTTTGGCCTCTTTGATGTAGAGGGTGTCGATGCCGGTGACATGTCGTGCACCGTGAACATCCATCTTGTTGCATGATGCTCCCCGTATACTACCTTTACTCCATCCTTGGTTGGAAATTTCATCATTTGACGGAGGGTCGAGGGTACTGCCCTCATACTATGTATCCACGGCCTTCCAAGTAAGGCATTGTACCTCATGTCACCTTCGATGGCATGAAACTTGGTATCTTGGATCGTACCGGCTACGTTAACTGGGAGGATGATTTCCCCTTTTGTTGTTTCGCTCGCCATGTTGAATCTATTGAGGACTCGAGAGGCGAGTACGATCTGGTCGAGCAGTTCGAGCTACTCCACCACCCTCGACTTGATTATGTTGGTCGAGCTACCTGGATCCACGAGCAGACGTTTAATCTAAATTTTATTCAAAATAAAAGAGATTAACAGTGCGTCATTATGAAGCCGAGACAAGGTCTCAATGTCCTCTTCGCTGAACGTGATAGCATCCTCTGGTACGTAACTCTGAGTTCGCCTTTCCCTAGTGATGGATATCTTTGTCCGTTTGAAAACGGGTTCCTATGGGGCGTCGACCCCTCCAACAATCATGTGGATGATGTGCTGCGGTTCTTCGGCTCGTTCTTCCTGTCTGCATCTCTTTCTCGGAAGTGGTTCTTAGCCCGATCATTGAGAAATTCACAAAGATGCCCTTCGTTGAACAAATGGGCTACCTCCTCCCTAAGCTGCCTGCAATCCTCGGTCCTATGACCGTGAGTGCCGTGATACTTACACATCAAGTTGGGGTTTCTTTGTGAAGGATCTGATAGTACGGGTTTTGGCCACCTGGCATTTTTTATTTTCCCTATGGCTGATACGATGCCCGAGACATCAACGTTGAAGTTGTACTCAGATAGCCGGGGTGCCTCTATCGGCCCAGTGTGCCTATCGAACCCGGCTTTACCCACGAGTCCCCGGGAATTTTGACCTCGATCCATTCTTCGATCACCTCGAGGCATGTTACGCCTGGGAGCGTTTCTTCGATCTTCTACGTACGGCTGGTATCTTTCTTTGTTTGATCTTGCTCCCTTTATGTAAATCTTTGCTCCTTTGTTAAGAGCCTGCTAGGATATACTAGGCCCGAAGGGGCTCCTAATTGGTCGTCTTCGACCCTGATTTTCAACTGATACCTGTTGTGCACGTCCGCCCAGGTCACGGCGGGATACTCGATCAAATTTTACTTTAACTGCCTTGAAGCTACCGAGCTTCGTTCGTTCAGGCCTTGAGTGAAGGCCTGTACTGCCCAGTCATCGGAGACTGGTGGTAATTCCATTCGTTCCATCTGAAAACGAGATATGAACTCCCTTAGCATCTCGTTCTCTCTCTGTTTAATTTTGAAGACATTGGGGGTAGGTTATGATACCACATCATGGCCCCTTTCGACCGTGTTTCTCCAAATTTTTTCAGCAAGATGGATTCAATCTCGTCATCTTTCAAGTCATTCCCCTTTACGGCACAAGTGTAGGCGGTAATGTGCTCGTTAGGGTTCGTGGTCCCGTTATATTTCGGGACGTCGGGCATTCTGAACTTTTTCGTGATGGGCTTGGGAGCCACACTTGGCGGGAATGGTTTCTGTATGAACTTCTTTGAATCTACACCCTTCAGAATCGGGGGCGCGCCTGGGATCTGATCGACCCTCGAGTTATAACTCTCCGCCCTTTTATCGTTATCTTCTATCTTCTTTTCTCCCGATTCAATTCTTTTGGTGAGGTCCTCTAGCATCTTCATAATAGCTGGGTTAGCTGCTGACCCGTTGTTGCTCGATCTCTCCGGTACCTGCTCAACTCGAGGAGCCGTTTCCGGTGCTACTGTGCTTGGGGTTTTTTGGTGGCTTTGTAGCAAAGCAATAGCTACCTACTGTGCTTCCAACATTTCAAAAATGACTTAAAGACTAACGTCTCTTTCCTCACCGTGCACGCTTCCGTTGGTAGGAGAGCTTACATCGACATGCACAACGTTACGTGAGCTTACGTTGACGGTGATTTGTGCTGGTGCCTTCCCTAGGTTTTGCGGTGGTACACCGGCATCTGCTGGTGCTATCCCTAGGTTTTGTGGTGGTACACCAGCGTCTGCGCCGTTTTATCCTTGGAGCCCAATGCCGTTGTTTTCACGTGCATTTGCTGAGTTAGACATTTTGACCTGAAATCAAAGATTCTTGGACAAGAAAAAGTGTGAAGGATAACTTGTGTTTTCAGAAAACTAGTACCAAAATAATAACTATTATGTTTAGCCCCATAGTAGGCGCCAAACTGTTTACCTTGAAAATGGTAACTACAATTATATTTGATTTTGTGGTTCTAAAAATACGTGATTTATCTTAATACTAGTAGTTGTTAGCAATGGATGCTAAGTATGAGTAAAGAAAACAAGGAATGCAAACCAAAAAGGGTCGCTAGGCTGGGCCTCGAGTTAGCTGGAGCAGAGCCTCGAGGTCTAGTCGGGCTAATAGCTACAAACGATCGATGAAGATCAATGATAATGAGGGCCTCACAGATGGCCTTTTGCGGCTAATGATGAGCAATAAATGAAGAACAATAATGAATAATGAAAGAATAAGCAATAAATGTGAAGAACAATAGTGTTAGCAAAGAGAGCAGGGAATGTGGTATTGTATTCAATGTGTTGTATAATAATGCGGATCCCCTACAAAATGACCAGGGTCCCCTTTATATAGGAGGAGTGAAACCTAACATAGTACATGTCTAATAAATGACGAAGAAAAGCTACTAGTACAGCTGTGTAGCGGCTTAATAGGGATTTGTGATGTCCCTTGCAGGCTTTGTCAGTCCTCATCACGTGTCTTCAGGAGCCTTCCGCCCTTTCATGACGATCATCGATCGTACTGCTCCGAGATCGACCATAATGAGCTTTCGATGTGCTCCCTCGAGGGATGCACCTCGGTGTTGCACCTCATGCCCTGCTTCGGGCTTCTTCGAGGTTAAGCGTGGAGCTGCATAATAGCCTCAAAGTCGAACTCCCCAATTTTGGCTGTATATAATATTATACACTAATTATTTATAATATATACATCTGACGGTTAATTCTTCTTTGGCGGGTGACTATTTAAGTTAATTTCTCATTGAAGAATTATTCTACAAATATCAATGATAGGATATGTTCTATATAGAATATTTCAAGTTGATGTATTGTACAGGATTGCGTTCGATGCTCCTCGAATTATGGATTATGGCTTCTCCTCGATGAATTGAAGCTTGCTTCGATATTTTGAATTCATTCTTTGCATCTGCTTGTTTTTTCTTTCTCAATCAGTTTGTCTAAGATGGTTGTACCTAATTTTTCCTCCTCGTTTTATCTTCTTTGTTCAACTCAAATACAAGGACACTAGAATCAAAATCCCTATGTGCCGAAACCTAGGCATGAATTGTTCCAGGATATCGCATGTGAAAGCAAGCTCTTGTGCTTGATCATTCCGAGTTGCTTAGGCATGAAATTGTGGAGGACAATTATAATTTTATCTAAATCAGTATAAAAAGTAACTTTGCTTTAAAATTCGGGCAGTTAAGTTGGAAAATGCTGTTGCTGATGCAATGACAACCTTCAAATAGCAGTGGAAAGCACTTACTTTACTGGAAAATGAGATTGGTCAGGTATTGCTATAATCCTGTTATTGTATCTGTCAAATGATTTTATTGATTTTCTTATTCGTTTCACTTTGTTTTATGATTATTATGAACTCTGCTTTCAATTGCTTTATCCTTTTAATTTTTCTATCTAGGGGGCAGCAGCTTATGTATGCATTTGATGCTTTTAACCATATGACATAATAATATCATGCATAATACTAATATTTTCTAGGGCTTTTGAGTGCCCTCCTAAAAATTTGTTGCCTTACTGTTGAAAGAACAAAATGATATTTTGATTGACACCCAAAATTATATTAGAATGTCATTAGATGACAGTTCATTATACCCTTAGTGGTCCTTTGATTTGTGGACAAGCCCTATTGAACATATATAATGTAAGAATCATAGTACGAAAATTAAATCAGTGAGACTCATATGGCATCCCAAATAGAAAAAGAGACTTCATTGAAACTTATAATTTCTATAGTCAAGCATTAGAAATCCAAAGCAAAAACTAAAGCAAACATGGAAAAGAAAGTTTAGCTGGTTCTAACTTCATTCAAGATAGTCTTTTGAACCCTACTACTCCCTGGTAGCCATCCACCATCAATGGAGTCCATATCCCCACTTAATCCATCATCCATGAAATCTCCAATCCTTTTAACCTTACCTGTCGGCTCTACCGGATAATTGCCCGAAAAGCAAGCATAGCAAAAGCTTTTAGAATCATTGCCTAACAACTTATTCAAGCTATCCATTGGGAGAAAAGCAAGCGAATCCGATCCAATGAACTCCTTAATCTCCTCCACACTCATCCTATTTGATATCAACTCATCTGAACTAGGAGTATCCACTCCATAATAACAAGAGGCTATAATTGGTGGGCTTGCAATCCTCATATGAACCTCTTTCGCACCCGCCTCCTTTAACAGCCTCACAATCTTGGACGAGGTCGTTCCTCTAACGATCGAATCATCCACGACCACAACTCTTTTTCCCTCCAACACTGCCCTAACTGGCGACAGCTTAAGCTTCACCCCAAAATCCCTTATCTTCTGCGATGGCTCGATAAATGTCCTACCAACATAATGTGACCTTATCAAACCTTGTTGAAACGGTACCCCTGCTTTAGCAGCATAACCGAGCGCAGCCACAACACCCGAATCAGGAACTGCTATCACAACATCACATTCCACAGGAGCTTCAGTCGCAAGAATCTCCCCAAAAGCACGCCTAGACTCGTACACAGACCTCCCAAACACAACCGAATTAGGCAGAGCAAAGTAAATATGCTCAAAGATACAAGATTTACGCTCGGGATGAGGCATCAAACAAATAGACTGAACCCCATCTTTATCCACAACAACAACCTCACCAGGACTCACCTCCCTCTCATAAGTAGCCTCAATCAAATCCAAAGCACATGTCTCCGACGCGAAAACAACAGCACCATTACTTCTCCTACCCATAACCAATGGCCTAAACCCATGAGGATCCCTTACGGCAACCAACTTATCCTCAGTAATAAACACCATAGAATAAGCACCTTCAATTTTTTCACAAGCCTCAACAATCCTCAATAAAAAAGGTCTAGCTTTCGATATAGCAATAAGGTGAAGTACCACTTCAGTATCAGAACTTGTATTAAAAATTGATCCATTTTCCTCTAGTTCACTACGCAGTTGCTTATAATTCACTAAATTACCATTATGGGCAACACCAACTGACCCAAATTTATAACTAGCAACAAAAGGCTGAACATTTTTTAACATAGAAGAGCCAGCAGTAGAGTACCTTACGTGGCCAATAGCCATGTCACCAGGGAGTTGGTCAAGCTTTGACTCATTGAACACGTCGGATACTAACCCAACACCTGTAATTGACTTAAGAACGTCGTCGTTAACGGCGACAATGCCGGCGCCTTCTTGGCCACGGTGTTGAAGCGCGTGAAGTGCTAAATAGCAAAGGCGTGAAGCTTCAGAGTCGCCATAGATGCCCACAACGCCACACTCTTCACGGGGTTTATCGTCATCGTCAAAATAGGAGTCCAAGGTATTGTCAGCTGATTTCTTAAACGAAACGACGTCGTTTAAGGGGTTTTTGGAAGAGGCGGTGATAAGAGTTCTGTAGGGTTTAGGATGGGTTTTAGGGGATAAAGATAAGAGCTTTTGAGATGGGGAGCAAAAGGGTTTGTCGAGGGGCTGTGAAAGAGGAGATTTGTTGGTGGCGGCGGCAGAGGCGGTGGAGACGGTGGCGGCCATGGGTGGTGGAAAAAATGAGTACAGAGGGAAAAGCAAGTGGGGGGCTATGTGAATAGCCAAAGAGGCTGAGCTAGGTTTTGGTGCTTATATGGGGTTTGTGTGGTGAGAGTGGATCTCTCACCGCAGAATCTAATTGGTTAATCTTTTTACCTTATGGTGATAGTGATAGAAGGATTTGGGTCACCACAGAATAAAATTGTTAAATTTTTAGTATACTACTGTAATATTTTAATTAATAAAAAGAAAATTGACCCGTTATTAGCTTTCGGCGATTTTTTGGGTCAAAATAACATATACTCACACAATTTAGATTCTCGAGATAGCCGTGTGACTTTTGCTTATGCTATACGGTCCCGCAAATTGGGTTGATATAATATTTGGGAAATGATAACCGAAAATAATATATTACCCCTTGATATTCCCTCGTAAGGGAGCGTCAATGGACCAAAATTAATTTCCAACTTTTGTACTTCCAATCGGGGCGGAATTAGAGTGCCGGAAGCGAGTTCGGCTGAACCCAGTAACTTTGATTCGAACCCAGTTGATCATGCCCAACTATGCCTTATAAAAAGGACTCTGCGGAGGTTGCAAATATAACCCGAGTATTACGCCCGGGGTCGAATCCACAGAGAGTTAACCTATCAACCACTATCTTCAGACCCACTAATTCTTCAGAACCAGCTTCCCAAATATTCAAATCTCAGTTGAATATTCTTTAGCAACTACGCTTGCAAGTAACTAAATGGCTGTAAACTAAACTAATAAGGTTGTAAACAATTATGATAAAAAGCTAAGGCAATGATTTCCCCTATTGATGGAATTCCTTCTGTTTATGCTCATACAAATTTACCAACACATCTCTATCAATCATGAACACTAATCTTACCGTAAATCTCTCCCGAGTAATCACAGTAATTTACTATTGCACTCTCCCGAGATACACTAGCTTACTTTATTTAGCACGATTCACTTTAGATTACACCCAAAGCTTCGTTATCCCTAATCCCGCCTTTAAACCCGCAATTATAGATTCCTCTAATAATCTAGGAGTGGTGTTGTTCAACAATACCCTAAGTATGCACTCTTTTCCAAGTTATGCACACTAAATAGGCACAGCTAATTGAGGATCCTGTCAATTAACTACAACAAACACGAAGTTGAACAAATAGAGATTAAACTAGCAATTTGTATTCACCTAAACAAGAAGTTCATCAACCAATAGGTTCCATCAAAACCTTAGACAAGGAATTTAGCTACTCATGGCTATGGAAAAATAAACTAAGATAGAATTCATCATAAAAATCAAAAATAAAGAAGAAAGATGTTTGGAGTATTCTCTCACAATGGTTTTTCTTGCTAAGAAACCCTAAAAATCAATAATTAACCCTCTTGGGCGAAGTCTAATGTTTTAAATAGGGTTTAGGTCTAAAAATCCCATATTTGACACTTTGACCCCTGAACTTTTCTGCCGCGGTTCTGCCGCGGTCGCGGTAGAACCGCAGCCAATCACCCTCTCCGAATCTCTAAAGTTCGGAAGCTGCCTTCCACCACGGTTCTGCCGCGGTCGCGGTAGAACCGCGGCCAAACCATTTTTCTGAATCCTAAGGGCTGGCAGGGCGTAGCTTCATTGGGAATTTACACATTTGGCCTCTTTTCTCCAATTTTTTGACTCCAAAACTGCTCCTTAGCCTTCCTTATACATATATCACCTGCAAATCATGAAAAGCACTAATAAGAGCATTTTGTTATCACTTTTAGCATTAAAACTACACAAGAAGGTGATTATTTAAGGTGTGATTATAGTCAAATTCACCTATTATCAACACCCCACACTTAAACCCTTGCTCGTCCTCGAGCAAACTAAACCACACTTCTAGGACTAACTGTTCAATGCATTGCCCCAATTTATGTCACACCTGCTATTATCAATGATCGACCTAAGCAGTGCACAATCATATCTCAAATGCAGACTCTCATGCCAAGACACACTTGTGCTCACTCTAATTACTCTAACAGAAGTGAAGACTCACTTTTTCTTCCTGAGTCACATGCCCTCACATAAACAAAATCTGAGAGAAGTTCCACACACATAAAATTCAACAACAAGGAACCATATATAGAAAGAATTCACTCACTCTCAGCAAAGAGCATTCACATGCCACACAGACACACCATAAGCTTGCCCCTAGTGTAATACTCTACTAATCGAGCCATTCAGTCAAAGATCAAGAGGTCTTTATAGGTTGTAATGTAGGCTAAGGGACGGGTAGGATATATTTGGATATAGTGACTAACCTCCCTAAGCACTTTTAATACACACTTCCTTTTATTTCACCTTTATGTTCAACCCAATCATTATTCCACATTTGGTTTCACTTGTGACCCCCACTTTTCTTTAGGTACAACTGGCTTCTTCTTCTTTTTTTTTTTCAGAGTTCACCAATCAAAACCTTCATTCTTGATTCCCTTTTTTCACTAACTCTCTCCCACCCCACACTTTGACTTTTGTATATTCTTTAGTGATTCAAGTGCTTCTAGGAGGTAAAGGTTCAAACAATTAAGCTTATTCAAACACAGCGATTTAGATCATTATAGGGTTATCAAAGAATAGGCTTCAGGCTCAAAGGGGTTCACTATGGTAATATGCACAGGTGGATTCTCAAGTATAAAGGGTTGCACAAAGAAATGCCTCAATCATCTCTAAAACCAAACGACTTCTATTTCGCTTTGCAAACACACAGGGCAAGTTCTAGGTATCATATGTAAGCATAGGATGCAAGTAACAACTCACACACACTTAGCATGTAACTCATTCCGAATCAGTTCATCAACACAATCATACGAGTGTTCAAGCAAGACAAGATGTGCAAAATTAAGGCATATATTATGAGTCCACAAACAAGCTTAGACGTCACACTCTCAAGTTCTTTTTGCAAGTGTGCACATTTGGGGTTACATTCTGACCTTCACCCATCTAATCCTAAAACTACAAAAAGAAAAAAAAAATCTACCTAACCCGGTTCAAGAAAACCCTTGGAAAAGAACCGTGGTCAAAAGAAAAACCAAGGGGGAGGTACTACACTGCCTAAAAGAAGAAAATAAAATAAATAAAAAAATTTCTACATGGACTACTTCCCTTAAGAGTACTGTCCACATAGTCCGTCATCAGGAAGAGTCCTCTAACTTTGTTTTTTTTTTTTTTAATTAGTTCCGACTTTGACCTAACACTGACGCTACACTACATTACAGCTATACATAATACAACATACAAACAGAGCAAGTCTCCCACCCCACACTTAAAATCATGGCATGTCCCCATGTCATATAAATAAAGTAAAGAGCAGAAGGGTTAGAAGACTTCCCTGAGACTCAGTCAGAGTCGGAGACAGTGCTGGGATTGACATGGCATGCTCTCCCCAATGCACGGAACCAGGCCATGAATCGGCTCTTAGTCCTGGATTGCCTCTGGGACATAGTATCCATCCTTGTGTGTTATCCATCCACTGAGGTGCGGAGATCTGCAACCTCTTCTTCCATGGACCGCATCATAGGCCTGGTGGACTGTGATCTGGATATGCCAGTCCCAGAATGAGTGTATCTAGATGGTCCGGCACTGTCAACAGACCTCCTGGATGGAGCAAGAGGGACCGGATCATTATCCTCGTCATCTATCTCAATTGTGGTCCTTATTCCCCGGCCCACTCTGATGCTAGAAGCTTTGAATGCTGCTTTGGGTGGCAAATCTCCATCGGCAGGATGGGTGGGGGTGTTTCTCATCAAGCACAGTGTGGTTACCAAGGAAGGGAAATAGAATCCCTTTGTCAGCAGCGGTCCCCGTAAGACTATTTCATCACCAATTATCCGGGCCGCATCAAAATCCTTTCTTGTCACAAAGCACCAAGTCAACAGTGCCCGATTGAAGTTCACGTCCGTTGTATTGCTAGATGGCAGGAACCTGCTGCAGATAACAGTCAGCCAATACTTGGCCAAGTGGGTGAAAGAGTTAGAGTTGAGGGTTATTTGGTCACGTATCCAAATGGGTTGCCCCCCTGTGCAAAGTACATCCGTCATGACCTCCCATGTCACCCCTGGTCTGTCATGGTAATAGTCGACGTCACTGGAGAACGGAGGCAGCCGCAACACCTGGCGAATTGTTGGAACTTTAGCATTGACCACCGTACCCCGAACAATCACCTCCCTACCCAAGTGCAATGGGCAGTTGGCGTAAAATTCTCGAACCAGCATCTTGTTAACTGGTGCAGGGTCGTTAAATAGGAATTCCATTTCCCGCCTCCGTATTTCTTCATACATCTCCACCTTTTCGGCTCGGAGGGCTACCCGATCAATCGGGATCTCATGGAGAAAGGTCTTTGTAGCCTTGGCGTTGAAGTCGTCCTCCGCCAGTTCCGATTGGAATCTGGACTCATCATAAGTAGGTCGCTGGGATGGGCCTCCAGATTGCCTTTGTCTTTTGGGAGCCATATGACCTGCAAATAATCAAACGAACCATCAAAATATGCCCTAACTAGTGTCAATCAGATGGTTACTCAGACTTCACCACCCGATGACACCAAATACTTCCCCTTAATTCATTCATAACAACCTCCACCATAGCCCCATAATTTTCTTACCACTTCCGGCATAATACACCCCACACTTACTCCTTTCAATGTTACACATGAGATACAACACCACCATATAGCAACTACAACCATACCACCAATCAACTACACATCATCAACCATCAATTACAACACCCCAAACCTAGGTTGGGCTTAAAACACCCCAAAAATATACAACACTGTACCAAAATTTCGCCCAACACATGACCCAATACCATACTACACCACAAAAATCTAGTTTAGGCCTCCAATCCACCAAAACAACTTCACAATTATTTAATAATGGAGACCCAATTAATTTGGCACCAAACAACCTCATAAACATCCCATATTTGACACTTTGACCCCTGAACTTTTCTGCGCCTGCCGCGGTCGCGGTAGAACCGCGGCCAATCACCCTCTCTGAATCTCTAAAGTTCTGAAGCTGCCTTCCACCGCGGTTCTGCCGCGGTCGCGGTAGAACCGCGGCCAAAC